CAATCACAAATGTGGCATTCCTGTGCACGGAAATCACCGACAAGAGCGCTTGGCCTTGCAAAGTGCAGGCAGCTGCAGTTTTTCTTTTATCAGGCTGTTGTCTGGCGCCCTCTCATCTGTTGCGCTCTCGCCTCATACTCTCCTCTCCGCGCTTAGTCTCTCATTCCCTTAGCACAGCTTATTGCGAGGTTGAGCAAGCTCGCCTTTGACAGATTCTTTTCCTTTTCTTCACCGTCGACTCATTTCGCACCAATACTCCACATTCGTGGGCAAGCACAACACCACTTTGATCCTGCGGCACGAGAGAACAACGACTGATATGTGCTCTCGACTCTTGAATTTTGTGTAGTCTGCATAAATTTCTGGTGGTGACACTTTCGATATGCGGGTGGATCCGAATTTTCGGCTTCTGTCAAACCATGACGAAACATTTGCATTTCAGATAAATACTGGAGCCTTGCAACCTGTAGCTAAAGTAAGTGTCTTTTTGTTTGAAAGCTGAGCTTCTTCCAGCTGAGTTCCATTTACATGTTACAGCGATTTCTTTTTGCAGAAGAAAACAGGGGCCAAACGGAAAAAAGAAATCCAAGAGAATAGAAGAGTTGGTCAACGAGTGGCTTAGTGATAAACTTGTATCCGTTGTTGTTAGATTCACAACTGAAGCAACTCAAGCAACTCAGCACTGTACTCTTCTACTATATAAACGGCTAGCTTGATTGTGTATGTATGCATTTATGTCGGCAGGTATAGTTGTTCTTCCACAAAATGAAGATAGTTAATGGAGTAAACCAACAGCTATGAAACTGAGGAGTCGCTTGGTTTCGACATCTATTCGTGACGGCGTGACTGTTACAACAACCTCATCTACAATACAAATACGCACTTAGCACTTTCGATCGTTCAAAATGCTGCTCGAGTGGCAGCTGGAGGGCAATGGAGGGTGAGCAGGAGGTGAGAAAGGGAGAAGGAAATGCAATCATAATTTAAACGAGTAGTTGCGATAAATTTGGGTTGGGTACACAGTAGAAGTGGGGATGCTGTATAACTTCTCAGCGGGGCTCAAGACTGCAATGAAACCCGTCAAGAACGCGCAAAATGTGGAACGAAAATGAACGAGGAAGCAATCAACTTAGAGGTTTGCATATGTTAAGGCGATAGCCCCCACTATGCCAGCGAGCACCATGCTTGAAGGGTTGCATGAATTTCATGAGCTGCCGTTATTATGTAGTTATC